CAGAATATACATTTGCATCAGACTTGTAAACTTGATCTTAATATTTATACATGAAGACTCTGCAAAATGTCGTATTTGTAAGGACATTGTCAATTGGTTATTTTGGCCCAAAAAGTTTGGCATAATGTTTCAAAATGAATGCAAAAATTGCCTAAGTTATATACATAATCGTATAACGTAACGTTATTGTTGCTATGACGTCATAGCGATTGTCTTCACTGCTTGTTCTGTTACTATACCAGACAAGAAGTGTTTTGAGTTTCTTTCGATCTTAGAATAGATTATGGATTTCAAGAATATTCAGACAACTGGATGTGGATCTACTTCTTCCTCCGGTACGTATTTTAGTTATAGATTACCATTGCAGATATGCACAGCACTGTCCGGCAGCAAGCAGTTGACCTTTCAGTGGACTTTTGGTTTTGCTATTCTACACAATCTTATGTCTTCTATGTTTTCCTTTCCATAGGTAGTCTGTTAATAATGATGTTTGAATAATTTCGTATTTTAACAAATTACATATATTTATTGTTTCTATCAATCGTCTATTACAGATTCATTTCGACTTCGGATGAAAGAAGCCGGCGGAAGCGACGAAGTTCGCAAAAGGCGAGTTAATACACCTCGACCTACTAGCACTGATCAGAAATCATCTAATTTCCCACAACCTAATCTGGTTTTGGCAAGGGATGATTTGTACGAAATTGAAGATTTCGAACTTATTGCTAAATTGAAAGTAAGACATTCGGCAATAGATTTGTCAAAATATGTCATCACAGGAGCCCAGAAGAACGATACCATGACATTATACAAAAATAGACTAACAGGAGAAAACAGAAATATGGTAGAAGACATTCTGGCAGAGATTTTCAACAACCTAAATTTGTCTGGTGACATTCCAGAAGATTTAGACTTTGATTTCTCTGCCAGAATAGGGGAACTACATCACAAGAAAGGTACGGTACCATGAGTTTTATTTAAAGGGACAGATCCATCATTTTGAAGTCTTGTATATATTTAAAAAGCCTTAACTCACTATTTTTATAGAATGTCTTTTCTATATATCAAAGAGTCTCTTAAATTGACGGGTCGTCATTTTAACATTATAATAATTCCGGACACACATGGATTTCAAGGCTCAAATTTCGACAGTGAGCTGTGAACACTATAATTGATTAGCTCAGCTAAAAAATTCTAGTTTCTGAGACTTAAGAGTATGATTGGTCAATGATTGGTCACAAAAATGACCTATCTGTCCCTTTAACTCAAATATCCATGCGACAGATATTTAAACCATATAAAACATAAAGCAATATTCACCCTAAAATTTAGCATGGAGACTGTATCAACCAATCCAAATATATTTACGTTGCTTTAAAATTCTTTTCTAATTTCAGTCAAGAAACCCTCTAAGATGCGAAAGATCGGAGCAGCCTTACGTCGAGTAAGAAACAGCATATTTCGTCCGTTTGCATCTTGTTTTAAATCATCTTAAATAACCACTGTATTTTTCATCAACTCTGCATTATATATATAAAGTTATTTTTGAAAGTATCCACAAAAAGTTATTTTTGAAAGTATCTATAAAAAGTTATTTTCGAAAGTATCCACAAAAAGTTATTTTTGAAAGTATCTATATAAAGTTATTTTTGATGGTATCTATAAAAAGTTATTTTTGAAAGTATCTATATAAAGTTATTTTTGATGGTATCTATATAAAGTTATTTTTGACAGTATCTATATAAAGTTATTTTCGAAAGTATCCACAAAAAGTTATTTTTGAAAGTATCTATATATAGTTATTTTTGATGTTATCTATATAAAGTTATTTTTGATAGTATCTATATAAAGTTATTTTTGATGGTATCTATATAAAGTTATTTTTGATAGTATCTATATAAAGTTATTTTTGATGGTATCTATATAAAGTTATTTTTGATAGTATCTACACAAGTCTTTTTTGGCAGTATCAATAAAAAGTTATTTTTGAAAGTATCTATACAAAGTTATTTTTGACAGTATCTATATTATATACTATATATGTTATAGTTGTTATTATTATATCAAACTGTCAATATATAAGTTATTAAATATATTATATATTCATTATCTTATTTCTCTCTAAACACATTATCTAATGCCTGTCCTTCGAGAAAAAGTTAAGCCAAAAAGCCATTGTATTTGTGCCATTAAGTCAATGAGTGCCTTGATTCTGAGATTCCCATTGAGAATCACTTACATTTTCAGTTTGAGTCATTAGAAATGAGATTCTCTTTGAAAGTCACCATGAACCTTATCACGAGATCTAATTGAGAGTCACCAAAAACCTTATCACGAGATCCCATTGGGAGTCACCAAGAACCTTATCACGGGATCTCATTGAGAGTCACCAAGAACCTTATCACGGGATCTCATTGAGAGTCACCAAGAACCTTATCACGGGATCTCATTGAGAGTCACCAAGAACCTTATCACGGGATCTCATTGAGAGTCACCAAGAATCTTATCACGAGATGTCAATAAGAGTCACCAAGAACCTTAACCATGAGAATCATATTGAGAGTCACTTTGTACCCTTAGGGAAAGTCACTACCTACATTTATACTCAGAAAAATTGGTTCAGGGCCACCTCTACCCCAATAGGAGATATCTTTCATGTGTATTATGCCTTGAAAGAGAAACAAGTTCCTTTAATTTTGTCGCTGAGAATCAATTCCTTTAATACATTGAGAGAATGATTTATAAAGATTCCACTTTTCCATATCTAACGTAACCATATCCTAATTACAGAGCGAATTCCATTGATGATTGAAAATTTCTCAATTACCTGTACACAATTGGTGGTGGAAATGAAGTGCTTTGTCTGATTATAGATTTTCACTTGAGATATATGATTGAATTTGTTGACAATAATAAACGATTCCCATGGAGGCTCTCAGACTTTATATCTTCAGTAAGAATGAATTTGCCTCGGTTTGAAGTGCAGTCAAACTGAATTAGACTCGGTTTGAAGTGAAGTTAGACTGAAATAGCCCCGGTTTAAAGTGAATCCAGACTCAACTAGCCTCGATCTGAAGTGCCATTAGACTGAAATAGTCCCGGTTTAAAGTGAATTCAGACTCAACTAGCCTCGATCTGAAGTGCCGTTAGACTGAAATAGCCCCGGTTTAATGTGAATTCAACCTCAACTAGCCTCGATCTGAAGTGCAGTCAGTCTGAAATAGCCCCGGTTGAAGTGAATTCAGACTCAACTAGCCTCGATCTTAAGTGCCGTTAGACTGAAATAGCCCCGGTTGAAGTGATTCAGACTCAACTAGCTTCGATCTGAAGTGCAGTCAGTCTGAAATAGCCCCGGTTTGAAGTGAATTCAGACTCAACTAGCCTCGATCTGATGTGCCGTTAGACTGAAATAGCCCCGGTTGAAGTGAATTCAGACTCAACTAGCTTCGATCTGAAGTGCAGTCAGTCTGAAATAGCCCCGGTTTGAAGTGAATTCAGACTCAACTAGCCTCGATCTGAAGTGTACTCAGTAATATCAGTGATATAATCTGAAATGCGGAAATGGTAAAAGTGTCAATATTTCTATGAGTGGGTATTTGAGAGATACATATATCTTGTTAATGATTTACTACAAAGTCATGTCAATATTACTTAGTGATCGATGTACTTGAAAGTTTTCGAATCCATACCATGCCAAAAAGACTCGTTGATCCACCTTATGAAAGAAATATACAAAACAAAAATAAAAGTTATGTAGATATGGATATTGTGTTGACACATCCAGGCGCAAGGTTACATGCGTGTATTTAAATAGTAATATTATTGACACTTGAAGACTCTATTCCCTTTGCTAGTAAATGATTTACGACAGACATCACATACTTATCGCTGAACATTAACCACTTATATCCTCTTACCAAGTTGATTTATCTCTTTAGGGTTTTGTTTATAAACACGAATACAGACTTGACTAACTATAAATACTGAATAATAAGATATTTGAGCTGTAATATATACTATAGGAGATAGGTAGGTGGTTTGCTATATACTAGTATTTGATATAATAATCTTTTATTTAGGGGGTATATTTTGATATTTTTCTGCTATTTCGGTTAAATGTACATTGCTTACTAACAAAGTAAGCGTGAATATAATGAGGTTTCAGAATTTTTTTTATATTTTCAATTTCAAAATGAAATGTTACAACTCGGGTCTACCTTTGTAGACAGGTTTATCAATGTTTAAAAATCATTCTTGGGTTTCATTCAGATCAATAGAAGGTTTTTTCCTGTTTGTATGTAAATTTTGTTTATTAATTATGTTTGCTTGTAACCTTTTAAAATATACTATAATATTACAGTACAATTTCAATTATTTTTCAGCAAAGCGTCCTGTTTTAACAATCCTTTTAAGCCGTGAATAGATAAAGTACGGTTCGGAAAAATCGATACAAACGAAAATAGAACACAGACACGGGTCCGGATACCATGCGGACACGATTCGCGTCTTCTATTTTTTACTGTGTCGATAATCCTGCACCGTACACCGCTCCGGACACCGGACACTGTAAATCGTTTATTCGCACCTTTAATCTGTTATATGATATGAAATATATTCATTAAGTTACTCGGTGTATACTCCAACTGTAATATGCAGATTTATTTGTTTCGTATTCGGTTGATGACACTAAAGTTATCTATGCTCTGAATATTTTATTATGTTACACCTGTTCTATGTTACTGAAATATTCTACCAATCAAATACTCTTTTCAAGGGATTTTTGGACATTTACATTTGAAAAAGTCTGAAATGATGGTGAACTTGTCGCCATTTCTCAATAGTAAATTTGTACAAGTTGTAAATCCGTAGGCTACAGGAAAGATTTTTACCATATGTTTTGTATAGAAGAAGCCTTAAACAGACATAACAGACCAAAAGCGTTCAATCACTCAATTACTTTGGGAGATTCAAACCCTATCGTACTCTAAATCTATATAGACTAGCACCTTTAATATTGTAGTGTTGAGTATTAAAAAGGTGTTAAAGGGTAATTCATGTTAATCTTTAGGACAAACTGACCTATTTGTATCTCAGATAAGATGAAATTTCGGTTTTTATTTATCCTGGGCGTGTAAGGCGTGTCGAGCCAAGATAAAAAAAATGAATGTGCAAGGTCGAATCTATAGTTTTTGAGATGCCGAAGCAGATCCACGGAGTCGCTTTTATTTTGATCACACGTGTGAAATAATTCATGAGAAGCTTGACAATGAGTGCTTGGGTTTGGAACCCTAAAAGAATTTACAAGTAGCTATACTTTCAAAGCGTTTTCCCTAGATGTTAAAACAAATTCTATAAATAACTAACCAAGGACCGCTGCGGCTAGCCTTATGTACTGTTGGCAATACCTCATATGACACAGCGAAGGTGTTCCATTGAAATGAATGAGCCCAGAGAGTGTTGTTTAAAGAGGGAACTAGAGTGGTTCTAATAGGCTCTGTCTTGCACAAAGTAATGTTGAGTGTGAACGTCTGATAACGGATCGATTAACATGTTTATCAAGTGTATAACTTAACTCCAAAAGTCTACTTGAAAACTTTTATTGTTTTGAAAAGCTGGTTGAAATACAGTTCGACAGATCTCTTGATTGGTTGAACATTTCATTGACCTTGAACATGTGTTGCAAAGTAATGTCATCAGAGCATGGATGTATAGTCAAACAGAAAGAAAACATAAAATGGTTTTAATTGATTTTAATCACAATCCAAATTATTTATCCTGTTCTTTCTTCGAATTAATCGTAGGAACTAATTTAAAGAAATATTGCATGATTGAAATAACAATATTTTGTCGTTCACGATATGATCAATATATCAATCATTATTACCAAGCGTTATAGGACACACGAACCGGCGTATGTTTCTAAATAACTATAATAATATGAAACTAATTATAGACTAGAAGATATACGGTCGGTATCAGAACCGACGAAATATGATACCCGAAACTCGACACATGCACGCCCTTTTCGTTGCGGTAGCCATAAAATGCCCCAATGTACATAATAATATGTATGATTAACTTCCAAATTTCTTTAACATGCCCAACAATAAATTGTCATGCAAATGACAAAATTGGGTTCTTGTTTTCCTGTGGTTCGCTTAACAAAGACAGTAAAATTTCTGTCTTGGTCTTGTTCGGCGATTTTTGTCGCCGACTATAGAGTCTTGTCAAGAATTTCACTTATTTCGGGCACACGAGTCGGTCGTTTTCCACGTGTCGATAATCACGCGGATCATGCAATTGAAAGGGAAATGAATCTGATTGGATGATATCGCTCTGTCTTGCAGACGATAAATTTATTGATGACAATTCTCAAACTTGTAGAATATTTTAAAATCCACGGGAACACGCGAGGTTTTATTCAAGATTTGAGTAGGAGACAAAAATCGGCGACTGAGACTGTTAGTGTGTTTGTGTATACTAATCATCTTACTTTCCAACTTTTTATAAAAAAATCAGTTTAGGTTCCTTTAAGCTTATCATAGGTTATAATCCAAAATGTGCGCCCCAGTGTTTGTATGAGTCACTATCGTCCACGCTTCTATGGCATGTGGATTTATCGGATTTGTAAATGCAGCTATCTATTTGGTGTGATATCGGACAATTATACATTTCACACCCACCGTTCAGTTATATCCCTTAATGTTAAATTGCTAGCACGTAATAATATCACCTTACAAAATTATCGACCAAAACATGCTTTAAACAATGATCGACTTCATATTGTCAACTTTAAAAATATTTATGTTATGAATAATCTAATACTGCTATGATATTCTGTTTTTTTTTTCGATAGAGAAGGATTAGTTCAACCTATGAATGTGCTACATTAGGTGTTAAAGTTTTATGGCGTGAGTTTTGTGTTTTTATTAAAGGGATTGTAAACAGGTTTTCTCATCTTTTATTTTAATTTCACCAAATTTATGTGTTTCCTTACTTCAATAATCGAGCAAGGACTCGTGTGATAGAGCATATTTTGCCATTAGTGATGCCATTAAAAACTTATATTTTGTGAAGTGCAGGGACCACAGACACCTGATTGAAAATTGGAATGGTGCAAATTGATGCTATCAGTCACAAACCTCTTTACAATCCCTTTAATGCGGGAATATATTTTGTTTGTTTGAAATTGGATAATACAAGTTTTTATGCGTCTTTACAGAATTTAAATCCTTAAAAGATTGGCATTTTATCATCACTATCATCTCTAATTATTGCTAAGGATTTGTTGATAATTTTTAACTTTTATAGACTACATGTTCAGTTGCCATCAATTTTAAAGGAATACTACTTCTTAGTATGGACATAAAATTTTCAAAATTCAAAAGTCTCAAACATGGTCAACAAGTGTAATATATATATTGGTATATTCATCAGTGGATATATAAACAGATAAATCTATTAAACTAAGTAGTTTTATTCATAAAACTATGTATTTATCCATGAAACTAAGTATTTATCCATAAAACTGTGTATTTATCCATGAAACTAAGTATTTATCTTTAAAACTAAGTATTTATCCATAACAGTAAGTATTTATCCATAAAACTATGTATTTATCCATGAAACTAAGTATTTATCCATAAAACTGTTTATTTATCCATGAAACTAAGTATTTATCTTTAAAACTAAGTATTTATCCATAACAGTAAGTATTTAACCATAAAACTATGTATTTGTCCATAAAAGTAAGTATTTATCTCTAAAAACAGGTTTTTATGTATTTATCCATATAATTGAGTATTTATCCTTAAAACTGCAGGTAATTATTAATAATTACTTACTTTAATGCAGTGGTTCCCAACCTTTCTCAGCCTTCACACCCCTGGAGCAATCACGTGTACCTTTCACCCCCAAAAATTTGTTTCATCCACATTTCCAGCATGTGATGTTGTGAAGTCCTCTCTCAACTCAAAATAAATGTTTGAAAAACTCCAATTTGAACATTTGAATTTTATGTTCATTCTAAGAAATTGTATTTCTTTAAGATGCAAAAATAAATTGAAAACATAGATTTCATAGTGATAAGCGTTGTGTGTAAGAGTTGAAATTTGTGGAATATCTGCAGGCAATCAATTTCATGTTTTTATGGGTTGCAGACTTGGAAGAAGTAAATATTGATAAATGTTTACCGTTATAATTAAATAATATTGATCAGTCGTTGGTAAAATATTAGTCCGAAACATCTGTCTCTTTTACAGCCTCAGATAGATTTTTAACTAGGCTCTGTTTAATATGCGATTTTCTTCACCTTCTAAGATGCGTTTTTTCTAACTAAATATTAACCCCCCTTTACGATGATTGTAAATTAGTGTTGGGCATCATCATTACTGTAAACCAGCTGACAAATTGCAAAATATCTATCAGAGGCTGGAAGATATTTGGACAGATGTCGGCTGATGTAGAGACAGAAAAAATATACCCTGTTAAATGAGAACTTTCCGCATCCGCGCAGGTGTGGGATTTTTAAACCGAATTAGATAATCATCTTGGATCTGCAAAACCCAGTATATTTGGAAAGATGAATATTTTGTAGTTCAGTCATACCATCATTTTCTCCCTACACCATTTATCTCACATCGGCCATTTAAAAGTTCAAAGGTCACAGGGTCATTTGATATTAACAAAACGAAAGTTACCTTGATGCCCAACTCTAATTTACAGTCATCGTAAAGGTCATTTATTATAATGTTAAAAATAACGCATCATCGGAGGTGTGGAAAATCCCCATTCAACAGGGCTTATTTTTTCTGACTCCAGTCGACAACTACCAAAATATCCATCAGAGGCTGGAATAGAGGCAGATGTTTCGAACTAAGACTGGAATAGTGGAAAATGTCTAGTAAATTATCTGTCTTTTATTTTCCAGGTTGAATGAAATACAATGAAGCTTTTGTGATCGTTGAATGCAATTCGAAACTATTTTTTCATGCAGTTTCATAGAATGAGCTGATTGTATGGATTAGTTGTAGTATCATCAACACTGAGATCTGGAATATAGACGGAATGACTCAAATACATTGCGCTAAACATATATTATCTTAGTACATTTTGCGAAATCAGTTTTGAATTTTTCTTCGCCATTATTATCTCGGTAAGGATTATATTTATGAGGAAGCACATGATGCATCTAATCTGAAATTTGAATCCGACGCGAAGAATTTCTTGTGCTAGACATATCTGAAACGTGAGCAACCAAATCAAGTTCCAAGAATTGAATCCATCGCGAACGCTCTGGCAGCTAACTATTTCTTGAGCTAGACTTACATCTATAGTGAATTTGATGGAATTTAATTCAACTTTAAATATTTTATGTTTTTGTTGAGGACTGAACCATGAATCTAATATTTTGAGTTGAAACCATAGACTATTTCTTGTGCTAGAGAAACAAAGGCTTAACCTTTGTGAATTTGATGGCATTTTAAGATCTTAATGATTTATCGCGTGGTGAGGACTCAAAGTGAACAACCGATGAATCTATACTGTGACCTGCATCTGATGTGATTTTTATTATTTTCATATTAATATTATTAAAGAGTATTTTTTAAAGTGAACAATGAATTTAGATCTAGAATTTGAATCCAACACCAACGCACCACCAATAAACAATGCTTTGGTGCCAGACATCTACAACCGTCTTGATGCTGAAATTCAGGAAAGAACTCGAGTGTTTAATACTTTACTTGAGAAGCGGTTGATGGTGCAAGAGAAGGTCCTAAATAAACATAAGCATGATGTAAAAGTTAGTCACGATAAAGAAACTTTCAAAATCCGTCGAGAACTATCCAGGATACGCCATAGTTTACCAACTGTTGGACTCGTACATGGCCTTAACAATGGGCTGGCAGAACGAGCTTTTAATAAACGGAAAATGAATCCTTTGTACATGGAGAAGAATGACATGCCCTTTTGTGAACGACATTTGTTACATTTTCTTCCTAATAAGAGAAAATACTATAAAAAGTCTAAAGCCAAAAAGGTGTCCGAAACATCAAAAGACAAATTGCCTACAGTTGTTAATTCTAATACACAACCGGAAGTGGAAACTGCTGCTGCACAGGGAAGGGAAAATTTCACTGAAGAACAAGAGCATCAGAAGCAATCAGATCACCAGTCATCTGGACAAAGTTATGATCAAATAACGGTACAAGTAGATACAAGTGATGTATTAAGTGCTCGAAGTCGGATTGAAAGACGTTTACGCTATTCATCTCCAGCAAAGCTTTAGCGTTTGTGATTTGTGTTAATTTTCATTGTGTGTAGTGATCTATTTGATCGGTATATTATCTGTCATAAACCAAAGTTAATTTGTTGAAACATTCCTCTTGAAAATCTTTAGGTTTATTCGATAGTGCTTTGGACACCTGTTTGACCACAACGTTTTCGTTTTTGTATGAATTGCAATATTAATTCCAGGAAGAGAGTGGTTTAAAACAAATGGAAACAGCTCTAATATTAATTAAAGGCCATAGTTTGCCATTTTCCGAGGTTGACTTTGGGTGTTGGATATATAGAAGAACTGCGTGATAATTACATCATATCTTCAAATATATCTCAAACTAGAAATTTCACTAGTATTTCTATAAGTATATGTCTTTTCTAAGCTGAGTCTCAGGAAAAGGCGAGTCGTCATTTTAACTTTACAACGCGGATAATTCTGGACACATATATTTGAAGGCACAAATTTCGACGATGAGCTGTGTACACTCTTATTGATTAGCTTAGCTAGAGAATTTGTGTTTCCGAGATTAATGTACGATTCTTGAATCTGTTCCTTTAATGTTTAATGTGACAAATATCTCCAAATCCAATCACTATCTACAGTAAAGTCTTGTTTTGGGTGTGAAAAACATCTCACTAATTGACAATTAACAGTGTTGATTAAATTAGGACCATAATTAAAACTGATACAGTTGTTCATCTGTAAACATTGATGGATACACTCATATACATTGGCTACTTCATATGGTAAGAGTGTACAATTTGGTGAACTGGAACGTTTACCTACCACTTTCTTTATATTCATTTCTGTAATAAAGAAGATAATATAAAATATTTAAAAGGATTGTAAAGAGGTATTATAAATTTTTTATGTGTATCGGGGATACTAATAGCTTCAATTTGCATCATTCCAATTTCATTCCGAACTAGTGCATTTTATGACGTCACTAGAGGGGAGCTACCGGAAGCTAATATAAATATCAATACTCCCCCTTCAGTCAGTCTGCCCCGTGTTTGTAACTCCAGTCTAGGGAGGCTTGCGCCGCCAGGGATTTCTTACAAAATTGCACATTGGGTTTACTTTCTGAAATAGAGTTTTAACGGCTAGTAAATCAAATATTTAGTTGACTATAATCTCATTATCAGAAGTATATATCCCTTTATTCTAAACCTACCAGATAAGTACCGTGTTGAACAGCCATTGTATATATCACCAAATATCTCTAATTCACATATTGATAAATAATCTAGGTTGTTCACAAACAGAACAAATCTTCCCATACATATTTTCGTACATGTTAAATTTGTCCAGGTGCCTCTCTCTGCTGTGTTCGGGTAATGGACACAAATACAGTATTCAGTATCCACCATGTTATATTTAATATGAGGACCAGGATCATATTGCCAAACAGAAACAGTAAAATCTCTCAATCTATCACCTAAAATTATTGTTTGAGAGTCGTTCACAGGAAATTTGGTCCCACTTAATATTGGTCACAGTTAATACAAAGTAAATTATATCGTGACCAAATTACTGTGGCCTATTTATCTTTTGACATATTTTAGGATTGTCGAATTATTCTTTCTTCGGAAGATCTTAAACATGCACAGTCTGAAGAAGAGGGGCCTCAGTATTTTTTCTTGTCTCATCCTAAAATAGCCAACTCTAGAATCATACTGGACACGCCCATAATATACCCAAGCCACTTGCAATATTAAAGAGAAGAGTAAAGTCTACAAACAAAATACTTAACCTGCTTTGTCTTGTCTATTTAAAACCTTGATACTTGTAATTTCATATTCAGCTTCTAAGTCAACCATCAACCAATTGGGTGTATCTGTTGGATATGTTGTATGAGAGCAACTATTGTTGTCGTTCATTACACTTCCATCGACTGCATTGGAGGAAATTAAACCTTTGCCATATTCACTAGCTTGTCTAGTTGGTTTGTTCCAAAAACTAAAAGCAAAAACATGAAAAATTATTTCACCAATGAAATAGAGTAATTTAGCTAAAGTAACTGAAATTAAGTAGCATTATATGCCTTTATTTGCAACATATTATTTTAATTGTAAATATGCGTATATGACTTTAGTTACAGCATATATGAGCGTATACATCTTAATTTACAACATAGCTTAAGGCAATTGTAAATGAGAGTATACAATAGCTTTGTTAACCGCACAAGGTTTATTAGCATTTACAAATTAGCTCATCTTAATTTACAACATAGCTTAAGGCAATTGTAAATGAGAGTATACAATAGCTCTATTAACCGCGCAAGGTTTATTAGCATTTACAAATTAGCTCATCTTAATTTATAACATAGCTTAAGGCAATTGTAAATGAGAGTATACAATAGCTCTATTAACCGCGCAAGGTTTATTAGCGTTTACAAATTAGCTCATCTTAATTTACAACATAGCTTAAGGCAATTGTAAATGAGAGTATACAATAGCTTTGTTAACCGCGCAAGGTTTATTAGCATTTACAAATTAGCTCATCTTAATTTACAACATAGCTTAAGGCAATTGTAAATGAGAGTATACAATAGCTCTATTAACCGCGCAAGGTTTATTAGCATTTACAAATTAGCTCATCTTAATTTACAACATAGCTTAAGGCAATTGTAAATGAGAGTATACAATAGCTCTATTAACCGCGCAAGGTTTATTAGCATTTACAAATTAGCTCATCTTAATTTACAACATAGCTTAAGGCAATTGTAAATGAGAGTATACAATAGCTCTATTAACCGCGCAAGGTTTATTAGCGTTTACAAATTAGCTCATCTTAATTTACAACATAGCTTAAGGCAATTGTAAATGAGAGTATACAATAGCTCTATTAACCGCGCAAGGTTTATTAGCATTTACAAATTAGCTCATCTTAATTTACAACATAGCTTAAGGCAATTGTAAATGAGAGTATACAATAGCTCTATTAACCGCGCAAGGTTTATTAGCGTTTACAAATTTATTTACAACATGAAGATTTTAAATAATCGTATTCATCTTTATTTTCAAAATAGCTTCATGTTATTGTTTTCATGAGCGTTTACAGATTTAGTTACAGCATGAAGTTTTAAAATAAGCGTATACATTTTTATTTACAACATAGCGAAATGTAATTGCAAATGGGGGTATACAACCACTGCACTAACAGCAGGAGGATTTTTTGAATAAGCGTATATAACTTTATTTTAGCTAAAGGTAATTATTTTCATGAGCATTTACAACTTTACGTACAACATATCTTAAGCTAAAGTAATTGTTAATGAACACCAAACCCATCGTGGTTCAATTGTGTTTTGACAAATGTTGATGCTTGTATAATTATGATAAAGTTTTATTCATTCATTCAAGCTTGTCAATACGTCTAATAATGATATTATTTCAGAATCAAAATACAAGATGGCATGGCGAGGATTTCATTGACTGAGGTGGCATCCGAGCGCCCCGGTTCCCCTTTCTGCATACCATAGGGTACTAGATATGATTGAGGTCGGGGGATGACCTCTTGGAAAATAAACCTATTCCAGGAAGGCGGTGAATACATCCAAAGCGATTTTGGAAGTGGGAGAAGAATAAATTTAATTCTTTTTGGCCCCTTGCCATATGACCACTGTCCTGGCATTTAAGGTATCGTTTTGTGATTTACATACATTTTGCATTGCTAAATTATCTTAGCAATTAGTGATAAAGATAACAGTATTGACCGAGCTATTAGAAATTTTTTTGCAGTGGCTGTATTAAATTAATACATTTAGTGTTGTTTGTGAAAGACATTTTAGTGCATTATTTCTGAAAATGGCGGAAATACGTCTGATGGAAACATGACCTAATAGAGAATAACTTTCTATTTCAAACACAGTAGACCTTTGACTAAATATTAATCTCTATGATGCTTTAACCCACATCATCGTATATATATAATTATATATGATAATTAGTGTTCACATACTATTTGAATCCAAGCCAATCGTGAATACATTTATAAAACGATCAAATCTACTTGGCAAAGGTCCAAGAGTTCAATATTTGGGGTCCATTACTAATGTCAATATTGGACTCATGGCCGTTTTCCAATACCATTATGTTGGCTAATGGTACTCCAAGATCAAAGGGTGACGATACATCTGTATTTTAATCCAGGATAATTCTATATAACGTTAGATAAAATCACTTACCAACTTTTTTATCAATATTCCAAAATCCAAAGAACAACAACAATTTCATCCACATAAATGTCATATTATCAAATTGGTTTGGTCTATTCAGTTCATGCTATTCTTTAGAATATTTATCCTTATTACATGCATATATATACTTCTTGATTTTCACCAATTTTGAACATTACAACATAAGCCGCGTTTAGACGAACGAGTACCGTTCGGCAGAAACAGTGGCAGTGTAAACAGGTTGAGAGGGCTCGGCCCTGTGCTAGTTCCATGTAATGTCATAATAGAATACATCGTGTTTTTGATGGATTGCGCCTCCGATATTCACGAAAACATTTAATTTCTTTGTGTCTCAAATACAAAGTTGGAGATTTTTACGAACCGTTCGCGCTTTGAATGTGACAAAATTACCTCAAAATCATCGCATTGTTTATGGGTGGCGGCATTCTAAATGTCTGTGGTTTTTCGCCTCCAATGACTGTAGGTGTGTATTCGATCAATCATTCTGGCCCAGTGAAATCAGTTCAGTAGCGGTACAGGCCAATAGGGCCAAGTCCGTACCGGGCACGGTTCTATTCAAGCGGGCCAATTTTTATGGCAGTGTAAACGCGGCTATATATAAACGTTATACAACAGATTAGCAAGTAAAAGGATAGAAAATATATTAATTAATGAAAACATCGACAGAAACATGTAATAATTAATAGTAATTAGATTTGATGATTAAGAAATCAATTTTTTCGTTTCCACTAAATGAACCCAGTTAAGACCAAAAACTCGTATAGTTGACGTGGGTCTACTGGAAAAAAACATTCGTGTCGCTATAACAACCATTGAATAATATTATGTTTGATGTTATATAAATTATTTTACGAGTGGTTGTCATCATATTTTATATTTGCCAGTACAGATTTTTGAGATGGAATTCTTAAGATAATCCTGAAAAGATTTTCATTTTATCATCGATATTTCTTTAATATTTGCTATTTGTTTCTGGACTACATGTTCAGTTGCTATCATTTTAACTCTATTCAGCTACATGTTTAAAACATCTCAATTTTCAATTTCCAATAGACTTGCATGGAATGTACTATACAGGACACTATGGGGTCAATATTTAACTATGAATATGAGGTTATGATAAGTAAATTATAACTATACTCAATAAAGAAGGATCACACGTAAGAAAATGAAATATTATTGACACACATACTGACACCTCGAATTGGCCCACTGTTTATCATAGTGTGTACATGCCCGAAATGTTAATACGTGACTATATATTTTTTTCTTTTAAAACGCAATTCAACAATTATTTTTTGGTTACTTGTAAATGGAAAATGTTTAACCATATTTATCAAACAAGTTAAGTGACGTTATGAAACGAGTCTTATGGTGACATAATGAAGTATTTGCCTATTTGATAATATACAGAATATTTACTTAAAAGATACTAAAATAAAGATACGTTGACCATACCCGGACATACCTGGTCCATAAAACAGGTTATTATTTTTAGGCTAATTTTATCTTTAGGTGGTAGTACTACTTTAAGATTCAATAATAAACTGAAAATATGGTGATGAGCGTTAATATGTGCAGTCAATCAATTTAATGCTGTATGAGTTGCAGATTTAGGACCATATTAAACTAAGCCCACTTCACTTCGTTTTGTGGAGGTGAAAATGAGATTGGTGACATTTAAATCTGACCAATCAGATCGGTAGAACAGAAATGAGGTAATGTAAACAAAGCACAAAACCGCTTTGCCGCCGCCCGTTTGAAGAGATAAGCACATTCTTTCCAAGTAAATATTCCAAAGAAAGGTTTAATTTTCTCTCGGCTTCAATTCTTTAACGAAAATCTAACTCAATTCTGTACCGTACATATTCATGGTTTACGTTCGCAAACAAAGCCTCATAACGAGTAATTTGTTTTGATTGGCTGAAATTTGCTACCAATACAGCAGGGCCAATTTTGATTGGACAATATTTAGCTATGCATATGTAATTTTTCTCACTTGTGTTACCACGGCCCCGAGGAAGTATGACTCCTGTTAAAACACGTTTTCGTTTTTTAGTATGAGTTACAATATTAATTCCAGGAAGAGAGTGGTCTAAAACAAATGGAAACATCTCTTATTAATTAAAGGCCGTAGTTTGCCTTTTCTGAGGTTGACTTTGGGTCTTGGATATATAGAAGAAAGCTCTAGAATTATTAGAAGTGCGTGATAATCATGAATGTATATCTCAAACTAGAAACTTCACTAGTATTTCTATATGTCTTTTCTATGTGGAGTCTCAGGAAAAGGCGAGTCGTCATTTTAACTTTAAAACGCAGATAATTCTGGACACATGTATATTTGAATTCATAAATTTCGAAGATGAGCTCTGAAGACTATTATTGATTAGCTTAGCTAGAGAATTCGCATTTCTGAGACTAATGATGTAAAATTAGTGAATCTGTCCCTTTAATGTTTAATGTGACAAATATCTCCAGTTCCAATCACTATCTACAATAAAGTCTTGTTTTGGGTGTGAAAAACATCTCACTAATTGACAATTAACAGTGTTGATTAAATTAGGACCATAATTAAAACTGGTACAGTTGTTCATCTGTAAACATTGATGGATACACTCATATACATCGGCTACTTCATATGGTAAGAGTGTACAATTTGGTGAACTGGAACGTTTACCTACCACTTTCTTTACATTAATTTCTGTAATAAAGAAGATAATATAAAATAATTAAAGGATTGTAAAGAGGTATTCTAAATTATGTGTATCGGGGACACTGATAGCATCAGTTTGCATCATTCCAATTTCATTCAAACGTCCGTCTTTCTTCCACTAAAACTTATGCGTCACTAGAGAGGGGCTATTAATATCTATGCAGATCCCCCCAGTCAGTCAAATATTTAATTGACTATAATCCCATTATTAGAAGTATATATCCCTTTATTCTAAACCTACCAGATAAGTACTGTGTTGAACAGCCATTGTATATATCACCAAATATCTCTAATTCACATATTGTTAAAACTGTCGGGTTGTTCACAAACAGAACAAATCTTCCCATACATATTTTCGTACATGTTAAATTTGTCCAGGTGCCAATCGCTGCTGTGTTCGGGTAATGGACACAAATACAGTATTCAGTATCCACCATGTTATATTTGATATGAGGACCAGGATCATAATGCCAAACAGAAACAGTAAAATTTCTCAATCTATCACCTAAAATTATTAGTGTTTGAGAGTTGTTCACAGGAAATTTGGTCCCACTTAATATTGGTCACATTTATAACAAAGTAAATACTATTGTGGCCAAATTACTGTGACCTATTTACCTGACATATTTTAGGATTGCCAAATGCTTTTTTCTTCGGAAGATCTTAAACATGCACAGTCTGAAGAAGAGGGACCTCGGTAATTTTTGGCACATCCTAAAAATAGAGTCATACTGGATACACCCATAATAAATTGAAGCCACTTTAGCTTCCTTTTTGTAATAAACTTAATAAAATAGAATTATGAAATTCACTGGAATGAATGTGGAGAACCATTTTAGATCTACCTTTTCCCAAATACAAAATTTAAAATAAAGAGAAGATTAAATTCTCTTTCCCTCTGATAAATTCAAAATACTTAACCACTATGGTCCCTTCTATTTAAAACCTTGATACTTGTAATTTCATATTCAGCTTCTAAGTCAACCATCAACCAATTGGGTGTATCTGTGGGCATTTCTGTATGAGAGCAATCATAGCCGCTGTTCGTTAGATTTCCATCGACCGCATTGGAAGAATATAAACCATGATTGCCATAATAACTAGTTTGTCTTGTTGGTTTGTTTAGTGCCAGATTCTCTAATCCAAAAACTAAAAACAAAAACACGAAAAATTATCTCACCAAGGATATAGAGTAATTTATGTACAGTTGAGGTAACTGTAACTATTTTCATGAGCATTTACAACTTTTTTTAATGACATTATCATAATGTAAATGAGCGTTTATAGATTTATTTACAGCATGAAGTTTTAAATAAGCGTATACATTTTTATTTACAACATAGCTAAACGTAATTGTAAATGACCCACAATAACTTTACTTGCCAAAGTTCATTGAGCAATAAATAGAATAATATTGAAAAATTTTCGAAACTTATTACGAGTAGCCTTCGCCCAGGTTGAATTTTTCTTAGTTCGTGTATTTATTAAAATAACAACCTGTTTATATTTAGAAAATGGTACAAAACAGAAAGTGTTTGGGAATTGTCAATATTATTCTATTTATAGCTCTCTGAACTTTGACACATCGCGCGCTACCTGGTGTAAGATGTAGGCATAACTTCCACGAAACGGCGTAAATTTACGAGTTGGTATTAATTCGCGCCACCTGGTGTCAGTTGCCGGCATAACTAGATTTTCCACGAAATGGCGTAAATTTGCGAGTTGGTTTTAATTCGCGATTAGGTTCTAGTTCCGTCGAATTTAGATTAGAATCTTTATACTGCTTGAGAAATTCGCAAACTAATTCAAAATCTGCAAACTGACTATTTGCATTAATGGCGTTCCATACATATGACCACTGTCCTGGCATTTAAGGTACCGGTATCGTTTTGTGATTTACATACATTTTGCATTGCTAAATCATATCAGGATTATTCTACATATAATAATAAAACCACTTACCAACTATTTTATCAATATTCCAAAATCCAAATAACAACAACAATTTCATCCACATAAATGTCATATTATCACATTGGTCTAGTCTATTCAGTTAATGCTATTCTCTAGAATATTTATCCTTATTACATGCATATATATACTTCTTGATTTTCACCAATTTTGAACATTAAAACATAAGCCGCGTTTAGACGGCCATAAATTATTCGGACCGAGTCCGGAACGAGTACCGTGGCAGTGTAAACAGGTTAAGACGGCTCGACCCCGTGCTAGTTTCAAGTAGGCCGAGTCTCGCAATATAGACGCGCCATTGGACCGAGCCCGCTTACCCAAGTCGAAGTGCGCATGCGCAACAATGACCTAGATCATGTAATGTCATA